GACTATGGCCTGATCCCCTTCGTATTGAAGGGAGGCCCGTGCACAACAGTGGGGCGTTAAAAAAGGGTTGAATACAATACATACAACAAAAGACAAACAAACAACATTTTCAGCAAAATAGCTTAGAAATTGCTTAGTCTGAAAAACAAAGAGGAGGCGAATTTCAAACCCTCGTTTAGAATTCTATTGTCGAAGTGACGGTCCACTTCGCAACAATACAACGCGTTCAAATTGTTCCTGTTTAATGTTTATCCATAATTGTTTAAAAATTAACCTTTTATATCTTTTGTATAGTTCAACAATCAAATATCAGTATTTTTACTTGAAAATAAATAATCAAAATTATGTACTACTAGCTCGGGTTCGCCCCTAGTTAAGTTTTAATTTTTAGTATAGATTACTCAGAGATGAGATGTTTTTCCGCAGTAAAAAGTATTCTATATATTGGCCCAGATAACCAGCTATCATCATATCAAATTTCATCAAAATCTGTCCAGTGGTTTTCTTGTGAAGCGTTCCCAGACAGACAGACAAAAATTCTAAAAACTATAGATTCGGTCCTTGTATCGATAATAATGTCTAGGCCTGTCCGTGTACTTTTGTTGTAATTGTTTTACTCTTAAATGTCCAATCCAAAAAATAATTTCAACGGAACTTGTTGCTCTTGAACAATGTGGAAGACAGTACGATGGGACCCGCGGGAGAAACCTAGGCTACTCTAAAGTTTTAGTAACAATTTAAGAGCCAATAGAGCGATTTTTAGATGAATTATTATTTTAATACTTTTACAATAAAAAAATGAAGATAAACATGCACATGGCTAATATTTTCCTCAAAAGGGATCGAAGTCGTACCATCAGTCACATCAGTCATCAGTGTTGGGACATTAACACACAGCACCATCTAGTTCCATGGTAAGCTACTAAGCTTGTGTTATGGATACCAGATAGTTGATACACTACACATATGTAGCTATAAGCACACACATACATATTACAGATAACAGTAACGTCAAAAGTTTTATCAAATAACTTTATTACTTATTGTGTAAAAAAATAGCTCGGCCAAGTAATCCTTTCCATGTGATTGTACAGAATTGCCTTTTGTTTTTATAAATTTATTTATACAAATATTTTTTGTCACGGTGTTTCATTCGTTCTGGCACCAATTAAAATGTAAATTGGAGTCACCCGCCGTACCCATACGAGACTGAATGCTCTTGTTCAGTAATATTACCTACTCGGCTTTACTGTGTTGACATAAAGATCGTATTGGACGGCCGTAAAAGATAATATTTTATTAAAAATTATTATCAGAGGTACTAAAATTAATAAGAATATATTGAAGTACAAAGGAAAACAGCTTTTTTGTTAAAAAATTTTTGTGTAACACCTGTTATTTTAAAAATACAATTTATAATTTGATTGCAAATAATATCGTCCGTTGTGTTGAAAATCGCAAGTTTTTTCGCGTCGAGCAAATTGTACAGATTATACTGTTTTTTATAATTGTATAGTTAATTTCGATTTTTCTAGGCGTTGTTAAGAAAGAGAAACTTACTTCAATAGAATACGTTGTTATATACTTAGACTAATATAGATGGAGTCCGCCAAAATAAATGCCATATCCAAAATAGTATTATGATTTGTGTTTTATGTTACTATTCTCCATTTTACCATACAGGTCGTTCAATTTCTTTAAAGAATAAAGCAAAATTTACACGCGTATAAATTAAATAAACATGTAATTTTTAGTATAAAATATGAATAATAATAATAATACCATATTCTTTTGTACTTTTTGAAGCATTCGTTTCCCTTGAAAGAGAAATAATATAATTTAATATTAACTTACAAAAAAAAACTTGATTATTGTAGTAAAATCTGTTAGCTATTATTATTTATTAACATTTATTTACTTATCATTTAGTATGCTGTATGTTATAAGTTATTTATATGCTATTTTAAAACATTATTGAGTGGCTTCATGCTTAGTCCTATGGCACTGTACCTATATTATTCCTTAGTCAATCAGTAGTTAACTTATTTTTAATTAGAAAATTATTAATACTGTCTTAGATTTAAAATAATTATTTATTATTTAAAATAGAAAATTATTAACAAATTAATCTTCAATTACTTTACCTTATACATTATAAAATACATACTTAATAATTTAAATTAAGTATTTTAAAATTCTTCAATTCAAACCATGGGCATATACAAATAATTAATTAACATAGTCCATACTATAATATAATAAATGTGAAAGTGTGTTTGTTTGTTTGTTTTTTTGTTTGTTTGTTTGTTTGTTTGTTTGTTTGTTTGTCCTTCTTTCACGTCGAAATGGATCGAATGATTGGCTTGATTTTTTGTGTGCAGATAGTTGGAGGGCTGGAGAGTGACATGGGGTACTTTTTACCGCAGGAGATTACTTAATGCCACGGGAACACACGTTATAATACAATCCAAGAAAATATTTATGATCTGAATTACTTGAAACTTGGTAATAATGCTCTTCATACGTATTTTAGCATTTTTTGAAATTCATTCTATAAGGGGGTGAAATAGGGGATGAAAGTTTGTACAAAACTACCTTTTTAGAGCTTTTTTGTAGTTTTAGCGCAAGCAAAGCCGCGGGTTTTGCTAGTATTATATATTTTTCTTCTATTCTTCTATTCTATAAAAATAGTTTCAATATTATTATTTTTTCTAACTCATACACTTAATACGAAAAGCAAAAAACAAACTAAAACAGAGAGAAAGCTCGACTTAATCTGATGCTAGCTACAGAAAGGCTCATCTCGTCGTTACTTAGAACAGATTATGATATAAAAGCTAAGACGCTTATATTCTATTTGCACAACCTATAAAAAGCTTCATCATTATTTTATTTGATTATTTTCACAATATTTTCTTATACGAAATGGTTTAATTTTTTTTTCTTCAGTTAGTATAATATGAGTATTCATCTCTTTTTACCGGACTGCGCGACGTAAAGGTGGGTAATGTGTTTATCAGCTTATATATGTATGTATGTATGTTTGTTTGTTCCTACGTGGCGTTCTAGAGACCAAAGCTAGAGTAGATAATTTTAATAAAAGCTAATTTTTATGTCAGAAAAAAATCGATCAAATTGATCGATGTTTCGAGTTACCTAATTTTAAATAAAGAGTACATTGACTTACTAAGTTCTTTTTAAAATTTAAATCATCCTATCAGATAACTTTTAATTTGAAGGTTGTACACGTTGTGCTAATTACTTTCATTCCCACTCCGAAATTGGTATTTACTGGCGGACTTTAAAAAAAACATTAAAAAAGTTTGTATATTCAAACTAACTTATTTTCTATTTAATAGAAATGTAAGGATACCTCACCTTTGAACAAGACTTAACAGATATATGTGTATCTGTGGATGAAGTCATAATACGAATAATATAACGCTTGGTTTCAGCGCTTAGATTCAAAAATATTTTCAATACGTGGTAGTAAAGTTTAATTTTTAACATATTTTAGAGATTTTTAAGAATTTTATGTCGAATATACTTTCACTTAGAGGATGATAAAACTTCATATTATTTTAAAAAATCCAAGTGAATAATATTATAGGAATACTTAATTATCTTTTGCCGTATTATCTATAGATATAATAAAATTCTAAGTGAGTCAAATCTGTACACTAAATATTTTTTGAAAAATCTCCTTGTAATAGTCATTAATATCGTTACAGAGGCCGAATCTGTAGTTTTTTTTTAATTTTTGGCTGCTTGTCTGTCTGTCTGAGAAAACCACTGGACAGATTTTGATGAAATTTGGTATGATGATAGCTGGTTATCCGGGTCAACATATAGGATACTTTTTACTGCGGAATAAATCTTCATTACATCTGCTGAATAGAAAATAACACTAAAATTGGATGACGTAGCTCATCTACTTAAATAGGCTATGGTTCTATCTTTTGAATTAAAGAAATGTTTTGAAATGTCGCGAATGCGTGGAGAAACAAAAAGGTAGAGACGGTAAGCTCCTTTCATGGACTAGTATGAGTATTAGCTTTTTATTATCTGTTATTTCAATGAACAAAAAATATATATGAAATGAGCTACCGTGAAAGCTTCGTAGTGTTTGTATTTCTATTCAATTTTCATTTTTGAACACGAGCCCTTCTTTATGTTGGACTCGCGACTCACCCTCGCTTCGCTTGGCTTCATCTCTAAGTACGTTTCTCACGTTAGTATCGAATATATACTATATGATATCATTTCTAAATAATTATAAGGGCTACCTAATGCAAAAAGAATTTTTCATATCGGATTAGTAGTTCCTGAGATTAGCTCGTTCAAACAAACAAACAAGCAAATTGCCTCTTTATAATATTAGTATAGAAGCTCTTGCCCACGGCTCCTGACGTTATTATTTATGATTAAATTCTAAGCAGTTCCTGTAGCATCACGTGTATTAGATGGTGTTATACTAACAAAATATAATAAGATTTTAATTAGAATTGAAACGAAATAAACATTTATTATATGCATATTTTTATTTTTAGCAAAACTTATTGAAGTCCCATGACTAATATTAACGAATTAAAAATGATTCTACTATTACATTTTTTTCTTATAAGTAATAATTATTTTCAAATAAATGTACATACTTTCAAAAGGACGTGTTATGAATAATAATATATCCTAACCAATTTCGGCCACGGTGGCTAATTTTACTGAAAATAGCTCAAGTGCACTTTCTACACCTTTCACTCCCAAACTCCGGTGGGACGACAATTCGACTCGACGGCGGTAGATCAGGTACGATACAGACGCAGTATGTGCTTTCCGCGAAACGGATCTGTTATTGAAAACTTGACCAAAAACCCAAGAACTATACTAAGCCCGACATGGGACTCGAACCCAGGTTCCCAGATCGCCAGCCATACAAGCTAGCTACTAGATCCTCGAGGTAGTTGGTCTAAGAAAAGTGAGTTTTGTTTATGGTAACTTACCCATGGCGAAGAGAATGATGAGAGCGGACACCCAGGAGCACATTTTGACTGTTGCTTGCGCGGTTACATTATCGGATTGATTTTGATCTGAAAAGAGAAGAATGTTGTAATTTTTATCCGACTTGAAAAAAAAAATAATTCTTGTGTATTTTTCTGATTGTCATGCAATATCTTCGCTAATCGTATTCGTTTTCATATTTTTTTATAGTTTGACATATTAAAAGGCATTTTTGCTGAGAAATTCTGGTGAGAAACTCAACAGTTGCTGTATATAAATATCAAGTTACAGTGTTTCATACATCATTGAACTATGTGGCACTAAGACAGTATTCCTCGAATAAACGTATAGTAGCTGAGCGACCGAGCTATATATATATATATATATATATATATATATATATATATATATATATATATATATATATTCTAATCTATACGTATAATAAAACTGTAGAGGTCGAATGTCTGTACATAGAAAAAAATGCGAAAAACCGAGTCAGGCGGATGTAAGAAGAGAAATAGAACAAATCCAGTTTTTTTTGTTTCTCTGTCTGTTTGTTAGTTTGTACGGGCTAATCTTCGAAACTGTTGGACCGATTTAAATGAAATTTGCATATGGCACCTTATATTCCCAGTCAACATATTAAATACTTTTCATCTCGGAAAATTAAAGTGTTCCCGTGGGATAGTCAAAAAACCATAGTAACTTATACAGCTTAGTACACGACAACTTATGCACCTCATTTAGTGAAATTTGGCATGCTGATACCTTATATTGCCGGTCAAACAAAAGATTACTTCTTATCCCGGAAAAATGAACGGTTACCATTGGATAGATTTGTTTGTGCTTTTAGAGGCGAACCCAAGAGAAGCGAGGCCGCTAGTGCTCTAATATATTCCGCGAGATTTGACGTAGTTGGATAAAAGATAACGTTAGTTTTTCTGTGAAGCTGGAATTATATATAAAACAAAATACTACGATCTGTTGGTCTGTATTTACATGAAAAGAACGAAAAAAAAACGTTTATGTTATAAATAAAAATCAAAAAATCTCAAATTCTTATAGATAGTCTACATATATGGATGATGATAGCTATTATGACAGATTATATTTTACGAAGACTATAATATTAGACGATAGCAACAAAAATATATCTGAAGTGAGAATTAATCTAGCATTCCTAGAGCATTAATTATGAGTTAGAAGAGAAAAAATGCCAAATAGTGGCCATCGTCATAATTATAAATGCGTTACGAAAAAATAAAAAAAACCCGACTTCCAGGCACTAAAATGTAAAAAATAACTAAACGGGGGTTTTCATTTAGAATAGATACCTAATCAGATATTTTCGAAGTAAGTGCCAGCCGACGCATAGGAAATCTAATATATTTTGATACGTAAAATACATATTTAACTATTATATATTAGATATTCATATCTTAAAATATTGTCCGCTGGCACCGACTTCGAAAATATTTGATGTGAACATACATAAAAAAAAAAGATTCCGACGAATTGAGAACCTCCTCGTTTTTGGAAGTCGGTTAACAAGAAAGACAACTGGCTTTAAGATTTTTTACACTTGTGAAGTACATAAATTGTCCAATCTACCTTTTATAAAATATGAAAGGAGTCCTTATCTCACTTTGTAACTTTTATAATTCCCCTCAAAAGTTTGCGTCGCTTCCGTAAACAAGTAACTCGCGAGCGTTCGTAAATAAACGGGAAATTCTTAAACCACTTAAATTAGATTTCGTAAATGTAGATCTTTTATGAAAAAAATATAAGACTTTGTTTACGAGAGGCCGAAATTAATAACTTATTTTTAGATTGTTCAGACAATTATATTTGATACCATTGATGTTGTTTTCCAGAGGTGAAAGGTTAAAGTGTCGAAAGAATATTGATCATATAAATAGTTTCTTGGGAAATATATTTTGATAGATATAATAATAATTTATTCATATATTTTTTACAAAGTTACATAATATAAATGATTAACTGACGACATGATTGGCTCAGTTTGTAGTGACCCTACTTGCTGTGCCAGCGGTCGCGGTTTCGAGTCCCACTGGGCATTAATTTATGTGATGAGCACAAATGTTTGTACTCCAGTCATGGGTGTTTATATTTATAATATGCATGTATTTAAAATTATATATATGTAGTGTATCAACTATCTGGTATCCATAACACAGGCCCTGTAGCTTATCATGGAACTAGATGGTGCTGAGTGCCCGTGATGTCCCAACATATTTATTTATTTATTATTATTTATTAACAGAAGGAGTAACTCCGATATTTAATTTGGAACCTACCTGAACAAAGTTAAAAACCTGTGTCTCAGGTTACGGTATGAAGTGTTAGTTAGCTGTGAAATGCTATATTTACGAATGTCTAGATCTCGATCTTCAATATTTTTGAAAGAAAGTAGTATTTTTAAAATATTGTTCCAGTAAATTATACACCTAGCACTTATTTAAAAAAGAATCGCTTTATGGAGCTTAAGCCTAACTTTTAAGGCAAGATGTCACGAAAGAGAAATAAAACTATTGGGATTTTCTGTTATTATAGGTATTTTATTATAATATTCTTAGTAACAACTCATAGTTGGGTAGTTGGTTCACCCCCAGCCTTCGATAAGCACGTGTAAAGTCACGGGTCGTCATCTGTCTGAGGTATAACATAAAATATACGTTATGACATTTTCTTTTTAAACATTGAAACACATTTATATAATAGGTAGAATATCGTATTAGAAATAATGATAAAGTATAAAATAAAGCACCGCCCCCCTTCCCCTCCTTTTTAATGGCGATTATAGTCGTTTTTTTATAGAGTAATACATAACGAAGTACCCGAGCGAAGCGGGGTAGAGTCGCTATATAACATAAAACTTAAGAGCTTTTTTTTGTAGACTGAACGCGGGCATAGCCGCGGGTTCTGCTAGTAAAATTATAGTACTTTGATGTGAGATATTCATCCTATATAATATACACATATATTTTACATAAATAAAGCCCATATCAATAGACATTTATGCATGAGTAACCTCTGTTTGTCGTCTTCGAGAAACCCTAACGAGCCTATCTGAACTTGCCACCGTATATAGATATATCAATTTCAATTCAATCCTAACGGTATGAACGTGTGCATAATTCAATAATATTATACGTTGCCCTTCCTTACATAGATCATTGATATAAAGTCTTCAAATGTCGGTATGTTTTTTTTAATAATACTCGATTGCACCATTCTATGTCATAGTCTATATCTATGTATTAATTTCATCCAAATAAGTCCAGCTAATTCAACCTAAAAGAGTATGTACACATACAAAACATACACGTACAAACGTACATATAAAATTTCATAAAATGAGTCAGATTAGGTTAAATCATCAACTTAAAAAGGAAGTTTTAAATAATTTTAAATAAAGGTAAGGGAGGAAAGGAATATTGTTGGTATATTATATACATACACACACATATTCATATATTTTTATATGTTGGTACATTAACACACAGCACCTTCTAGTTCCAAGGTAAGTTTGTGTTATAGATATCAGATGGTTGATATACTACACATATTATATAACTTTAAATACGTATACGTATATTATAAATATCGCTATATATCATAAAGCCAAAAAGGTTTTTTTTTTGTAGACTGAACGCAAAATTACTAGAGAACAAACATTCGTGCTCATCACACAAATGAATGCCTTCAGCGGCACTCGAACCCGCGACCGCTGGCACAGCAAGTAGGGTCACTACAAACTGAGCCGAACATGTCGACAAACACGTACTCGCATATACGAGTATATACTCGTATATACATAATATAATTTATGGTTGAATTTTATTACTAAAATAATTTCCATCTGCACAGTGGAAATTTACTCCGACAATAATAGCTTATTCGAGATCATGAATGAAGTCGTTAGATTCCCTTCAATACATATCTTGTGCAGTTTTTCGTGATAATAAGAATGTAAAATAAATTTTCTCTAGGCTTGTGGTAATGCGCTCGCTTAGAAAATCAAGTGTAGCGGGTTCGAACCCTTTGACTTCTGATATTTTAATGTGCACATAATTTTCAATATGATTGTCATTGTTTTTAAATAAAACAATCTCGTTGGATTTTTGTTTCCCGATATTTCGAATGCCAACATGGTCTCCTATTTTATTTAAAACTAGCGACTCACACTCTCTTCGCTCGGTTTCGTCCCTAGGTGATTTTTTAGTTTGAAATAACCTTTTTATTTATGAACCGATTGAAATCAAACAAAAACTAAATGTTAAGTAAAGCTTACCACAATACATTAGTCAAAATCACACCCAAATCGGTTAATCCGTTTCTGATATTAGCGCGCACAAACGCACAGACAAACAGACAAAAATTCTTAAAATCATTGTTCCGATTTCTATTGCGTTAATAAAAACCTCCAATAACAGTTTTTCTCAAATATCTTCCATGTGCAGACAGCGATCAGTTATAATTGTATTAGGTATATGTATAGATGTCAAATATTCACGTAATCTAAGAAATTATTATGATTAACTACCGTCGTCGCGAGGTACGTTTTAAATAGATATAAATAGTTATTAGCCAGCATTAGCCATATAATTTTTTTTTGTTAATATTATTGACAAATATTGACATTAATATTTATACGATACTAACGTCACTCAATTGCCATCAATGTTTTGCCTTCCCGAAACCTCTCCACTAACACTTAAACTTTATGTTATGATATTAAAGTTCAAATTGACTTTTAAGTATTATTACGAATCTTTTGTATGGGAGTATAAAAAAGTGTTGTTTTTAGACTTTTTCAGGCAATTTTTTAAATTTTTCTCTCCGTAAGAACCATCCTCGTACTTCAAGGAATATTCTAAAAAAAGAATCAGCGAAATCGGTTCAGCTGCTCTCGAGATTTGCGCTTACCAACACATTCAGCGATTCATTTTTATATTATTGATTAACATTTTAAATTAAACTGTCTTTTAGGATTTTTGGTCCCAACCTTACGAATGCATTTTGAATCATGGTCACGGAAGAGACTAATAATAAATTACCACTT